AATTTCTTGTAATACAGAAGAACTAATTGTTTCAAACTGGACATGTTGCAACAATCCACACTTCCTATTTATTCGGGTATGTTAGGAATATTGTACTATTTACACCATTATTCATTGAGAATTCTATATTTTAAGGGTAAGATAATATGATGGACAAAATAAGACTTGACAACTGTTCAGTATTGCATAAGTAAAACATGCTCATAATGTTTCGAAACACTCACTAACCAGTCACTAGCATAATTAAATAGAAGTTTGTTTCTAGTGAAATATCTCTTGTATTTTGATTCGGAATTCAAAATTGGGTGTTCAGTTCAATGAGCATTTATCTGTTCAGTATTTTGTTGAATACTTCTTTATAACACCAAAGTTATCTGTGCTGTAAATGCGTTGCAAACATTGAATAACTCGTGAAATGTCTGTTTATGTGATCAATTCTCTTGACCAACTTTTGCAGAGCATTACAAAAATTGGTTCACTAGATTTCCTAGAGGGTGGTTTAACTATTTCGATATTGCATTATCTATAGGATGGTCATCCATCATGTTCTATAAGAAGACGAATATAACGTATATTGTCTTCAAATGTTATGTAGGTAGTTTAGACAAATGTTTATGAAGGTAGAATGTAATCGTTTATTACAGGTGATGAATCTAGAGGTAGTTTAGAGAGGTTAGTTTGCAAGATATTTCACACAGAACATTTCAGTATAGTTTAGTGCATCATTTACTTACTTCTTTAAACACATGAAGATTGGTACAAGGAGGCAGTAAAATATATATGTAGTGCACAATAAAAATGAGGTTGTGAAGGGGTAGAGAGAGGAAGGTAAGTATAGTGAAAACAGAAGAAAGATGTATAGAAATTAATGTTTGAAAGTGAAATGATAATAATAAGAAGAATAGTCTCGCGCGCGAGGCTGATAGGTCCTGGTTTCTAATCTTACGGGGCGGGATTGTGAATTCCTACTGCTGAGGAGTCCCATACTAGAATGAAACTGACGTCCAGTGCTTTCAGGTTTTCCATGTTGGTCTAGCTTCAATCGACTCATGTATTCAATCATTAAATTACTACAATCTCCACAATACCCCTCTTTGATAATAATAATAATAATAATAATAATAATAATAATAATAATAATAATAATAAGTGAAACAGTTCAGTCAACAAAAATACAGCCAGAAAGAATTCTTTGAGTTTGTCTCACTTATATGAAGAAAGTGAAAACAGTAGGACTGCCACAACAACACTGTCATAGTTATCACAGGTCAACAGTCGTAGTGTTCTCAACATTAGGGCCGACTTCGATTTGTTGGACAAGACGATTTTTTGGGATTGTCTATTGAAGAAGGGAGTATCTGTGAAGTTTAGTAACATCTTGACAACCCTAGATGCAAACACCTCAAGCGTAGTGAGGGAATACAACCAACTCTCTCCATTGTTTCATCCAAACAGTGGGGTTAGACAGGGTCGTCCAATCTCACCATTCCTCTTCAACCTTGCCATCAATGACATTCTGGAAACAGCTCTGATGGATGTAAGTAATGGTGGTGTGGATCTGTCGTCTGGAGAGACTACTTGACATGAAGAATACAGATGATATTGTCTTAATGTACGAGGATACCCAAGCCATGCAATCAGCACTTAATCAGTACCCATGGGTATGACATGTGCTTTGCACCTTTGAAGTGCGCAGTACTTTTACACGACTGGTAGGACCCTGATGCTGCACTCACTCTAGGTAGTGAGCAGATAGTTGTCGAGAAGTTCGTGTATCCGGGTAACTGCGTAAGTGCTGGTGGTGGCATGAATGATTAGACCAATTAATGTATAGTGAAAGCAAAAGCGGCTCATGCCAATCTTTGGCGCCTCTGTGATGTTAGTCGGAACTACAACGCGTCGGTGTTAGCCTGGCCTATCCGAGTTGATCATCGTTGTATCTGAAGGATTGCTGAAATCTAGTGGCAACACGATGTTAGTAATGCAGAGACTCGGCATCGTGTGTTCGGGCACAGCGACGATAATTCATTCAGTGTCACTATCTTAAAACATCGACTTCGGTGGCTTAGACGTGTTCTACGATTGTCGTCCCAGAGGATTGCATATCGAGCGTTATTTTCGACACTTGGACCGGTTAGAAGTGGAGAGGTGGTTAAAGTATCACATGGTGTCGTGGTACGAAGGCTGTACATAGCTGGCTTCTGTTATTCCTTCACGACCCCCTGGCTGGGGTCCTAGAGATGGTGCAACACAGTGGCTTGAGACGTTATCACATATGGCTCAGAATAGAAGCCAGTGGCGATCCTACTGTAATTATCTTCCACTTTCTTTATAAAAATGGACGTAACTTCTTAAACTCGAAGAATTCTTTTTGGTTGTACTATTAATAACTCAACTGCATCTACTATTATTATTATTTAACTATCATACGCTAATTTCTGTTCGTTATTGTTCTCCGTTTTCATATATGCATTTTACATTCTCTATCTCTTCACATTCCCGTTGCTATTGTGTGGCGCAAGCTTGTATACAGAAACGTTTTAAAAGGTATCATCTTATAATGATATCCTCGATTCTACCATATTTTGATTTTATATATTGTTTACATAAACATTTCCATTACTTCTATTTCATTATTTTCGATTCGGAAGTTCTGATTCTAATCTATAGAGTTTGACTACTGGTTTGACTTTTAGAACAGCCCTGTTTGGTAGAAAGGCAGAAGATTTTCTATATTTCGTAAATCTTTTCATGTTACTTAATTAACTAGAAAACTATGTAATGTGATGCAACAAATTTGTAACAATATAGACTCATTCGCCCGATGGAGGAAATTTTCTACTAACGTCCATCTATTGTATGAAAAAAAATCTGCTAAAATATAGCACTAAAATAATCTACATTTTAGAAGAACGACGTTTGGGTCAAAGATACTGAACCACCATAATGAAGAAGTACCGAAGTCGGTTGCCAATTTATTATCGTAAAACATTACAAATATATTATTTTTATTTAATTCAATTCAGATTGAAAAGACTGAATATTGCCTTGATATTTCACAAGTGAACAATTTTTTGATGCAGTTCCAAAATAAATCGAATACAAACATACAGTCAGCAGCTTTTAAGGCATTAATAAAACAAACACTGTGCTCTAACAAACATAAAACAAACAAATATATGTAAACACGGAAAACCTCAATGTACACAAACTCCGTTATTTCATAAAAGGAATGACTCTGAGGACAGTGAAGACACGAAAACGGGGATCCCCTTACTCATAAAACCGAAGAAACTGGGACTGATTGTCTCGAGTAAAGTTTGTGAGTATTATTTGTCTAAACATAAACATTGGTACAAGGAGGCACCGAATACATATGCACCACACAATAGTGGTAGTTATCATTGATTTGTGTGAAGGCAGTGATACTGCCCGAGTGCTCAGACTGAAGCAGGTGGTTTCCTTAGGTGGCCACTCTCAGAGCCTTTGACCTGACGGTCTAATCTACAAGGCAGTGGAGCAAAACTAGGAGATGCAGTCCCATGCTAGCCGGTGACCAACATTAGGTTTATACACCATTTTTTTCCTCAGGATACTGGAGCCCATGTACACCATCGGTTCAGAATCAGGTTTTTCAACTTCCCTAGGTGGATACTCCATATCCACCAACCTGATTAAAGCGTCGGGCATTAGCCTTTCGTCCTCTAAATTTCGTAAACACCCTCACCAAAAGGAGGCAATGAGTGAAGCAAAATGGGATCATGAAGAGATTAGGTATAATTCAATTAAGGGTTCTGATTTCTAATCCCCATATATATTACGGAAATATTCTTAACTTTGTGAGCTAAAAGGCGAATGAAAAACGGGACGACTGAAAATGGTGCACATCAACATGGCGAACATTGATAAGGGAAATCACCAAAAAGGCGTGTCTTAATAATGACGAGCATTGAAAGGCGAATAATATTTTCAAGAGTTTGAAATTTGGTCGGTTTACCATCTATTCCCTCGCTTCTACTAGACAAAAACGTATTTCTTAAAACGTTCAATGAAGAGCATACCTTCAACAATTACTGTGACTTCGAGTTCGGTAATAAATTGTTTTCCTCATTACCCCAGTCATGTTATCTCAAATACCTATTTTGAATAGTAAAACTAGTTGACCTGCTTAATAATCAGTATGAGGTCCTACAGTAGTGAGATTTAGATGTCTTATTTACCACTGAACATCATTCTGGTATGATGTTCATAACCTATTTGAAGCAATCGACCTTATTAATGTGCAGTATATTTTAGAATTAAAAGATTTCAGCTGACCAGATAATTACAACAGGTTTCTATTAGTAAAAGTTATGGCAGCTAACCATTCAAAAGCACTGGGGAAAAATTGACCACTCACACTATCATATTTATCACTGACTTGGTAGGATTAAGGGTTCATTAAAAATACAGTCAAATATGTTCCTAGGTGTTTTGGTGAAGCTGATTTTATCGAACTATGCTATCCGAACAACAGAAATCTAGTTTAATGTATGCAGAAACCAAATTACTATTCGTACTACGGTACATCAGAACATAGAAGCTGGCAATGAAACCGGAAATTCGAAAACAAGATAAGTCTGTAATCGCTACTCGTAAAAATTCACAGTAACGGGCTATGGGGACGGACCACAACCGTCCTGTGGCAGCTACAAACCGGTGAATAAACTGCTAAAAACCTTTACCATTCGGCATAACAAACAGGCTGTCATAGACAAATACAGTCTTGATCTGTATGAGAGATTAGGATGATTTTAATCAAGTTTTGAAAACGTGTTTTGTAACTGGAATTCTTTAGACACCAACCTTGACAGAGTTGGTTTCATTTGACGGATGTCGCTAAACAATAGGGATTGAATCTATTAACTGCGGAGAATAGCTGGATTCTCTAATTAATTACAACCACGGCTATTAGGGAAATAACTAACGTTTGTGTACTGAAATAATAAGGAAGCTTGTTTGTGAAGCAGGAAACACAATTTTACTGAAGAAACATATGTCCCAAACTCTTGGATGGACGAAAACTAGACCATAGTAAGTTAGCAGAATATTTTGATGAAGAGAATTACAAGTAAAGCAATGAGTTTTAGTCATCATCGATACAAATACGGGCTCAGCTTACTTTTGTTAGAGTGAAGAAACTTCTGTGCAAATGAGCAATAATTTATTATTGCTACCAGAAGACATAACCCACGTAATATCGAACTAAAACTAAATATTACATTCTACAACAAAGAAAGTAAAGTAACAGAACAGATTTTGAAATTTGAAACGTGACACTACCCATATGTAGATCATGAACAATTATTTGACACCACAAAAGCCACATTGATATGTGTGAGGTCTCTATGATTAAATATTTTGTGGTCCGGCTTTTATTTCGAAACGAAGGAATCACAGAAATGAGTTAGTATTTAGGCATTTGTATACTACAAGTCAAGTCTTCATAAAGGAACATTTGCATAGAGTACTTTATTTAAATATCATGCTTTAACAAGAAATATTTACAGCTTTGGAGCTCCCAGTGCCATGGGCATTTTCTCAATTACAACGCGATGTCCATGTATATACATTATAGGTACTCCAGTTATTTTCCTGATACGGCGTCTCAGGTCACGATCACAAGTAGCAACGATGTAACAACGAGATTTGCAGCGCTCAACTAAACAATCATCAGCATAAGTCCCCTTATGTTGGCAAGTCAACCTTTGAATCCTCTCATCACGAAGAATTCTAAATCAAGTTGAGATGCAAGCCAAACAATTACTTTAAAGCCACCCGATATCTCTCCGACATCTTCTCTATTTCTCCCATGACACAATCTGTGACATACAAGAAGCCTGATCAGTAGAAATGAGTGTACAAACGCTTACACTTTGCTAGTAAACAGTCCATTGATGACTTGAAAAGGTCTAGTCGGTTCTTGATGGAAAAATTGACATAATTGGTATCCAAAAGTATGTGGTAAGGCGGTCCTAGGGCTTCATTATAGGAATCCTTAAGACACGGAAACACCTCTGGATTGTGTTTTACCGACATGTGATGTGAAGTATCTTGCTTGAAGGGTGTGACTTTTTTGGCCCGGTCTTTTTTCTTTCTAAAACCGATGTTTTGAACCAAATTTGTGTGTTACATTCGTGAATCCGTCAGTGATATCATTCGCTTCATTGCTGCAAACTTTCGAGTTTGCCTAGTCTTTCCCATGCTGTAGCGTGATACTCGGACATTCCGGGTGTGCAAGGATAGGTCAGTTTCAGATTCAGATTTCAGACTTGTGTAGTAAGAACAAAAGGCCTACGGCCTATGTTATTCCTTTTCTAGTACGCTTCTGTGAGTGTCCAGTCTACTTTTCAGTGAGTTATTTGAAGGGGCGGACATCACTGCTTTGGGTAACAGGTTCTAAGTATTGATGACTCAGTGTGAAAACCTGTATGCCATGGGTATTTTGTTCGTTCTTGGCTTTTCTACTCACCTGCTATGTCCCCCCGGATGTCCCGATCAAGTGGAAAGAGAAAGGGAGAACATGTTGGCTCCAAAATCATGTCTTATTGTTCTACACATCAAAACTAGATCTACCCTTAATCTGCGATAGGACGGAGTAAAAAGGGCCAGCTTTTCAAACAGCTCTTTGTACGGTAAACCCCGGAGTTCTGGAACTGCACGAGTACCCGTCTTGAAGTTCGTATTGAAGATTCTGGCTTTGATATTGGTTGACAGTTGTTTTGAGTTCAGGATGTTCATCAACTGTAGGAGTGCTTTCCTTGCTTCGCCAATGCTTACCTTCGTATCTGAATCAGGTCATTCTAGTTCATCGATGATGCTCTCCAGATACACGAAAGAATCCACATATTTCACAGCTTCTTAAGCAAGTGTGATTGGTTTGGTTGGTAATCTGCATGTTGTATTTGAGGACCTTGGTTTTCCCCTTGTGTATCCTGAGGCCTACTGATGCAGAGACTGCTGCTACATTGGCTGTCTTTATCTGCATTTGTTCATTTGTATGCGATAGGAAGGTTAGGCCATCTGCGAAGTCCAAATTGTCTAGTTAATTACAAGCTGTCTATTGTATTCCGTGCTTCCCCCTCGGATGTCGAGGTCTTCATAATGTTGTCGACTACCAGAAGAAAGAGTAAGGAGGAGAGTAGACAGTCTTGTCTGACGCGGGTCCTTACTTGGAATATGTCTGTCAGCTGTCCTCCATGCCCAATCTTGCACTGTAGCCTGTCTTATGAGTTCAGGATAGTGTTGACAATCTTCTGAGGAACTCCGTAGCGTCGAAGAAGGTTCCATAAGCCTTTTCTGTCTTCGTTGTCAAATGCCTTCTCATAGTCAATGAAGTTGATGTATAGTGACGTGTTCCATTCAAGTGATTGTTCGCCGATGATCTGTAGTGTCGCAATTTTTTTCTGAGCACAACCGATCCTTGCATAACCCAGCCTGCTAATCTTGAAGTTTGGCACCTACTTAGTCTTTTATCTGCTTCAGTAGCACTGTTGAAAACGTTTCCCTGTACCGATTGTAGAGTGATGCCTCTGTAGTTCTCACGTTTGCTCAGATCTCCTTTTTTTAATATCTTGATGAGGTATCATTCTTTTCAGTCCATCGGCACTTTATCTTCCTCTAAAATCTCGCTGAATAGAATGTGGAACGTATTTGTAGTTGCTTCCATGTCTGACTTCAGAGCTCCAGATGATATGTTGTCAGGTCCTACTGCTTTCCCAAACTCGATTTGTCTGATGTACATCCTGATTTCTTCGATCATTGGTGGGGCGACAGCCATAGGAAGATCTATATGTGCCGCTTTGAAGACCGATGGATTCGAAGAAGCTTGTCTATTCAAAAGTTCATAGAAGCATGCTACCCATCCGTTCCTCTGTACTTGAATTTCAGTGCTTGCCTTGTTTGTCCTTGACCGGTCTCTTTAGTTTATGATATCCCTCTACCAGTATCTTTGTTGTGTCATGTAGTTGGTTCATATTTCCTTTTATTGCAGCTCTATTCACTATCGCTGCTAGATCATTCACGTATTTCTGCTTTTCGGTTCTAATGTCCCTCTTTACTTGCTTGTTTGCTTCTGTGTATTCAGCTTGTGTCTTGTCTTTCTCTGCTCATATTCTGCTGTTGTTGATTATCGTTTTCTTGTTCTTGCCTTCTTGAAACTTGTCCGGGGTTTCCACAGAGATCCATTCGTTATGATGGTGCTTTTGGCGACCAAGAACCTCCTGACACGTTGAAGTTGATGCTTCTTTGATACCTTTCCAGTCGTCTTTCATAGTAGTTTTTCTTCTTTTAGTAGATTGTAGGGCATTAAATCTGTTGTTGAGAGTTATCTTGAATTTGTTGAGCTTGTGAATTTCTCTATATAAGGATGAAACAAATAATTGTGATTCGGAGCTACACCAGCTCTTCTCCTGGTTCGCACATCTTCCATTGACCTGTAGGGACAGTGAAATTCCACTGAGCCCTAGCCAAATCATCCGGCAGTTGAGTCACTGAATATCGAACAAATCATCGGTCCTCGCCAAGGTCAAGGACAACCAACGCGCATCAGTTAGTCTTACACTTTGGACTGTCCAATGCAGCGCTGGTCTTATTTTCGCTTTTATCTACTTTAACTAATATATTTCCGTGATATTGTAGAATTATGGTCTACTACGATATTATTACTGCTCTAATAATAGACCTAATCCCAAACTTGTCGATTCGTCATGATATAACTGCCTAATCTATAAGATCTTACGTGGAAGTCACACCATCGACTACACCAACTCACTGTATCGTATCAATTACCAATACCTGACGAGGAACAAGGTTAGGCTAGAGAAAGAACAATATATTTAATATGAATAGAAGATATAAAGTAACACTGAAATGGACCACGCCTACATGGACGAGCCATGCCACTCGATCAACTCCCGTCCATTCAATTCATTGCTCGCGCCTTCTTCATTGTTAGGTATTTCCCCGAGTTAAATATTGAATATCTATTTTCTGAGTAGTCTCGTGTTCACATCTTTGTGGATTGTGTGGCTATTGTCCAATGCCACTACACTACTCTCCCACCAGAATCAACGTGATGTTGGTTCGATGCCAAATTGGATGGGATCGTCGCGCGCCGGAGGTTACCAAGGATAATAAGAATCCTCCGGGTATTGATAAGCTGAAAGATAAACCAAAATGAAAGCGGCAGCATCTGGTCGGGAAATACATGTAATAATTCTAAAATATCTGCCTTCATGCTTAAAACGCTTGAAATGAAAATTTGGGTGAAGATTATTTGAGCTATAAAAAATGGGGTTACAATAATAAAAATAATAAGACGATGCGTGTTAATAACTTAACTTATAGGTAGTAATTATTTTGTGTTTAGAAATATTAAAGTAATGAATTGTAGAAATGTTAATATCGGTATTAGTTTTGGTTTAAATTATGAAACCAATTAACAATTATGCCGGTAACCCGTCCATATGTGATTTCCAATTGCATCTGTATTAGTAGGCTAACTGGGAGAACAAAAGTATTACCATGGAAAAGAATTCCAACTAGTGTTCCAGTTAGTTTGATACGGTTTATTTAGTTACGGGGAGATTTTCTCAACTTCATTTTTACTTGACCGTGATAGAATTTAGTAATACTACCAATACACATGAATGGTTATCAAAATAAAATTTAAATACATGAGTGATAATTATATGCATTTTGGACAGATAGCTAGGAACAAATCGTTAAACATGAGTGTATTCGTAAGAGGCATGCTCTGTACTCAATGTTCTGATCTGCGGCAGACTATTTATTTATATTTATACTTGCTGGCTGATTGAGCATACAAGTTAGTTGCAAGTATGCAGTTTATCATAAGGCGGAATACGATTTAATTGAGATATAGTGGTTATAAGTTATTAAAATCAGTTAGGCCTGTGTCATATTACGAAGTGATGTGGTGCTGCAAGATGTATTTAGCTAAATAAGTTTTTACAAGATGATTAATAGTAAGTGATGCTCATGTGATTATCAGGGAGAACATAAGTTATAACCAAGGGGAGTACACTCCCAACTCATGTCTATGATAATGGCTTGATCCTTAGTCAGTGTTGGGGTAAATTCGACATTGATGTTTTCAGTTTGCAGGAGATTTGCTCGACTGCTTATATTGATTATTTGCATGCATTATTGTGTCGCTAAACCATCAATTAGACTGACAAGGTTTTGAGATATTTACTGAATGAGCAACTGATAGAGAAACATACTGTAATCATCCGTAGTGAATGAAGATAAAAGAAAAACAACACTAGTGATAATTATAAGTCAATTTGCTGACCGATTTTGTTAATAGTCTCATTAATTTTATCAATCATATTACGTGATTGTCCTGACAATGCTTTATGACGATATCCTGAAACTATTATGTTTAACTACTTATAGTGTTGATTAAGGATTAGTCAGTGGAAAAATAGGTATTGTTGCTTTAGGTGATTCAAAATCATCAGAAATTTATAACGTTAAAGAATCCGAGACGCCTAATTTAATTATAAATTTCAATTCAGAAATATTCGTTTAGTGTTAATTCTAGTAGGCTACGGAGTTTTGATTTTAAACGTTTGTTTAGCCAACAGCTACATAGGGATCTAGTTATTTCACTAGTGCAGTTGATAGTACCTAAATTTTTAATCTTATTATCTAAACTATGTTCGCATTTTAGGCTGCTAATATGATACACCAATCCATAAACCCAAATACGATTAGCAACAACGACTATGATGGGTTTATTGATAAATGTTAAAGGCGATTCAGATGATTTCTAAATTCAAAAGATATGAAGATATAGTAAAACGTATGTACGGGCCAGGTTAACATGCAGGTTGTTGACGTATATAAAAATTTAAAAATAATGAACATGACCAGAAAATAATTTTAAAGTTAAGACTGCTTGTGAAACTTCAGGCAGGAATATGATGCGTTATAAACCTTCCATAAGAAGTTACTGCATTTAGCTTAGTGACACTTACAAATATATGGCAAAAGCAACTGAAAAACATATACATGTTAAGTGCAAAAAAACATAACTAAGTAAAATAGTTGAACTCGCCTGGGTTATTTTCGATTATATTATTCAGTGGACGACATATATAACGCCATTCGTGTGGAGTAGTAATGATCCAAAAGTATCCAGAATAAAACATGCAGTATGGCAATTAATTCCAGGGTGCTTGATGCTGTTGACGTTTTTGCCACTCGCTCGGATCAGAACAACCGAATGAATCCA